CCATTCCGAGCTGAGAATGAGAGGTAAGTGGCAAGGCCTGGTTCCCAAAAACGGTGGCAGACATCACAGAGCAAGGCCGTATGGGCAGCCCCGTCCCCATGTCGGAACCATGTCAGCGCTAAATGAGTCCCACACTACCACGAGCCAGGTGTGGCTCAGCATTGCAGGTGCCCACGAAGATGAACTTGCACTTGAGAGACGACATCTGCCCTCACCTAAGCCCCCGCTCTTAATTTGGGGAGACGAGGCCCCCAGCAGACTAAGAATGGGGGGAGCGGCCAGTCTTGGGGTGGTCAGGAGTGGGACGGGTGTCTCACTGGGACAGGTCCGAGCTGGGGTCCTGTCTTTGCAAGTGTCACCCCAGCATCTGGCCCCTCTGGGCTCCCATCACCATCCCCCCACCCCGTCCTGGTTGAAGTGCAGTTTAGTATTAATAACAGCGACAGCTGCCTGCATCCGCCCAGGTGGCTGCTGCCTCCCAAGGGTTCCTGCTCCTCCGCCCAGAGAACTATGGGCCCCTGACACGGCTGTGAAGCCTGGCCCGCACCACCGGAAGCTCACAGGAACTCCCTTCCGGGCACCCAGGGTCCAGGCTCCGAGGCTCACCTGGCCCCCTGGCCCCCTGGCCCCCTTGACCCCTGGTTCGGCCAGGCACGACGTGTACCTAGCACATGTCAGTCTCTCCCATCGGGGCTGCTGCAGGGCCCTGGACGCGCTCAGAGCCAAGCTCGGAGAAGAGACCTCCGGGCCACACTTCAGGCTTCCAAGTGCAAGTCCAGCGTAACAGTCACACCCCAGAAGTCCACCTCCTGGCCACCCCTTGGGGAGCAGCTTCGAGGGTGAGGGCTGTCTGCCCTCCACTGGTGCATGGTCCCAGCCAAGGCTCAAGGCTCCACCCAAGCCCCCGCCCAGCTCAAAGGCAGGCAGGTCCTTGAGGTCCAAAGGGAGCTCCCGGCCTCCAATGGGGCGGCAGAGCGGTGGCCTGCCTGCTGCTCAGCAGCCGTCCCACCGCCATCGTCCCACCGCCATCGGGACAGAGGGGCCCGGGGTGGGAGCCAGGAGTGACCAGCGAGAGCAGCAGCTCCAGTGTGAGACTTCCAGTGTCCCAGGCGGAGGCCAGGCCCAGTTCGGCCGGGGCAGTGCCCGCGGACGGAGAGCTGGCGGCACAGGCTCCAGTGTAACAACTGCATCCAGTGTGGAGGGGCGCCCGGGGCCCCGGGCCCTGGCATGCGGCTGCCTCAGGAGGGCAGCTCAGTCACACAGGCGGTAGAAGCGGAAATAGTAGTCCGTGGCCAGCGGGACCGGGGCCTCCGCGCTGCAGTTGGCCTGGCCCTGGGTGGAAGGGCAGAAGGACTGGATGAGGAGGTTTGGGAGTTGTAAGGGGGAGCTCCCCCCCACCCCGCTGACAGGGCCTAACACCATCCCAAGTCCTGCCCTGAGCTCTGCACCTGCACCCGCACCCCCACCCCAGCCCCATCTCTCCCCCAAGCCCCACACAGAGACAGGGGCCTGTGCTCACCAGCAGCGCCACCTGGAAGTGGTAGGTGAATTCACGGAAGGACAGGATGGTCACTGGCCACTGGTGGGAAGTGCCCTGGGGAGAGGGGAGAGAGGTTAGGACAGGCCCGGCCGCCATCCTCACCAGCGCTCCGCTCCGTGGCCAACGCAGAGAGCCGAGCCCCTGGGCTCTACGGCAAGTTTAGGGAGGAAACACATCTCTGAGGCGATGGGAGGGAGCGGGGTCTGCTCTGGGCGCGATGGCCGCCACTCACTGAGCCAAGTGCCCACAAGTCCGTAGCTGCCTTTCCGCCCCTCCCCGCCTCCTGCCCGCGATGCTCTGGGCACATGGAAGTAGCTCAGTTACCCGCCTCCCTACAGCCCAAGGAGGCGGCGCTGCTGACAGGTGAGGAAAGTTACTTGCCTAAAACCACACATGACACGTGGCAGAGCTGGACCCCAAACCCAGCTGGGTCACGCGCTCTCCCTGGCAGGACAGTGTGAGGCCGGGTGCGGGCAGCGGGCCCAGCTCCCACCCGAGGCTCTGGCTTTGCCCGGCGGTACCTGTGCCCAGGCCTGAGCCAGGCGGCCCCTGAGCGCCGTGCCGGGCTCTCCCCCAGCTTCTCGTGCTGCCCACTCCGTGAGGCCGCGGGGCCTGGGCCTCCTGGGCTCCCCCCGACCCCCCACTCAGGTTTCTCTGCACATCTGTCTCCCACGGGGCTCAGCACAGGGCCTGCGATGGGGTCCCAGTGCATCTGTGAAGGCTGAGGACAAAGCCCCAGAACTTGGCTGAGTCACAGCCTCAGGTCCCGGCCAGAGCAGGAGAGAGCAAGGGAGCTGGGCCCCGGCCCCAGCCTGAGCTTGGGGTCCCGGCTCCCAACCCGCTGCCCCCCCTCCCCGCCCCTCACAGCCCTGCCAGTTCCAGCTCCACCAACACGCCACGCCCCCCACCTCCAGACCTCTGCCCCTGCTGCCTCCTCGCCTGGGACACGGTCCCAGATTGTCCTTCAGGTCTCACTTAAATCAACAGGACTTTAATGGCTGTCCTCACCTGAGGCCAGATGGGTTAGTCTCCCTGCCATGGGCCCCCAGGGCTCCCTCCCTGTCCCTGTCCCTGTCCCTGTCCCTGTCCCCACCGCTGCACCCAAGTTAGTCCTTGTGGGACCATTTTCTTCCCAGGGCTCTGCCGGGCAGGAACGGACAGAGAGGCTCCCCCGTGCGTGGTGCACACGCGCCCTCCCCGCACAGACGCCCAGCCCCCAAGTGTCCCTGTGGAAATGCCTGCACTCTGACCCTGGCTGCCTCTCCTCACCCATTTGGGGGCCCCGTTGTGCTCCGGGGACCCCCAGCGGCACCCTACCTGGGTGTCCTGGTGGGTGTGGAGGCTCTGTGGAAAGCCCCCCTCCTCGCACGGCTCCTCCGACCTCAGGCTGCACAGCACCACGGACACGGGGAACGAAGAGCTGGAGGAGGCCCAGGTAGCAGGGAAATGGGTTCCGAGCGCCTCCGCCCAGCCTTCTCCCCGCCAGCCCTCCACTCCACCTCCCTGCCCCGCTGGCCCAGCCACCGAATCCTCACAGCCTGAAAACGATGCTAACAGTCAAGCTCCCAGACGGCTCTCCACCCCTCCCACCCGCCATCCTGCTCGGTCCTCAAGGCCCCTGCGGGCAGCAGCCCATTCTACAGATGAGGAACCGAGGCCCAGGGACCATTAGGGGCCAGGGACCCGGGTCTCCCCTCCCCATGTGCACTCACTTCATCTGCAGGGTGAGGCTGAGGTGCAGGGGGGTGCTGCCGCTGACAGGGATGTGGTAGGTGAAGTTCCCAGGCCTGAAAGGGCAAAGCTGGCTCCTCAGCCCCAGGCCACACCCACAGCCTCACCCCCTGGGCTCCTCAGCCCCCCGTCTCCATGGAGCCCCATGGAGCCCGTCAGGGGCCTCGCCAGGGCCTGCGCTGCCTGGTGGGGGAGTTCCTCCCCCGTGGGACAAGGTCTGGCCACGTGGGCCCCCTGGGCTCGGAGCACCTGAGGGAACCCGCCCCTGGGTGGGGGGAGGAGCCAGCCCACCTGCAGGCACCCCCTGGAGCACAGTACTGGGCGGTGATGGGCATCGAGTTCTCCAGCAGCTGGATGGAGGTGAGGGCGGGCGCCGAGTCTGCAAGGAGAGGCGGGGGTGAGCATCTACCCCTTGGGGTTTCTCGGTCACTTTGAACTTCAGTCTCAGCAAGCCACAGCTTCTCAATTTTTTTTTTTCTTTAAGCCACGACACCCGGCAAATGCAAGTCGAGGGGGAGGCCAGTACCCAGAGCAGAGCCAGCTGGTTGAAGTCAGGAAGGCTCCTGGCCTCCCCTCCGGCCTGCGAGGCAGCCCGGGGGCACTGGGGAGGAACCCATTTGGAAACCTCTGCAAGAGAGGGTTCCCAGCTTTGTCCGGTGAAGGGTTTGAGGTTCGGGAAAACAGAAGAGCCAGGCCTGGAGCCAGGCAGGTTGGGATCAGTTCCAGCTCTGCCGCTGACGGGTGATACGGCTCCTGGCGAGCCACTTCCCTTGTCTGCGCCTGTTTCCTCATCTGAATAATGGGGGCAGTCCCTTTCTTGCAGGAGTGCTGTGAAGATTACATGGGCGATCGGCACCGGCTCCCGGCCCGATCCCTGGCTGCTTGTAACGTTCAGCACAGGCCTGCTGATGGAGCTGTGCACCCAGACACGCAGGTGCCTGGGCCGAAACGGGCCCTGGCCAGGGAGCCCTGCTGGGCTGGGCTGGGCTGGGCTGGGCTGAGAGGTGCAGGGGGACAGGGCAAGTACCTGCTTGGCCCCAGGTCTGAGTGGGCGGGGGGACCCCTCGGCGGGCCCGGCCATGGATTCGGAGGCTGGCGCTGTTCTTGGTTTTGCCCTGCCCCCCCGGGAAGGGGACTGGAGGACTGGCCACAGGCTCCAAGCTCTTTGGGTGCTTGGAGTGGCCGATGCCATTGGCTGCCAGGCCCCAGGACTTGGCTCTGATGTTGGTGCCGGGCAGCACGGCCATCTGGCTGGGGTCTGTGGACAGAACCGGGCGGGCTGAGAAGAGGGGACTGCTGCCTCCTGCCCAGCTGTCTCTAAGCCCCCCTGGACTCTGGGTGAACCCATCGGTCTCTTGGCCACCCCAGGCGGCCCACCAATCCTTTCCAGAGCCTCCTTCTGGGCTCCAGGAGACCCCACCACCACCACCACCAATAGGCCTGTGGGGTCTTCCTCTGGACTCAGTTAAATAAAAACAAAGCCAACCCCAGCCCTGGCCCCAATAGCCATACCTGAGT